TTGACTTTTTTTTTTTTTTTTAAATTATTTGTTCAGGGTAGAAAAAAGAACAATTTAGAGAGGGAAAAACCCAACCCTAGGCTAGGAGGCAGGAATTCTCCGGAAGAGTAAATGTTGAGACCTTATTAGCAGATAATTCAGGCAGCAGAATTAAAGGTTTTTCAGGGATGAGAATGCTTCCCTGCACTGGGAATGGTCTCCCTGCTCCAGTGCTATGAGCTGTGCGTGTGTGAGCGTGCTGGAGTGCCACGTGTGTGTTTTTGGTTTCCCTTTCCATACCTTCCTCACATATGGAAGCCGAGCAAGCCCGGACCCGGGCAGGCATGTTCTGGTGGGTTCTCATACACGGGGAGGGCTGGGAAGCAGATTGTCTGATGGAGGGGCCCTGAGAAAGCCCTTGTGATGGAAAAATCTGGAACCACAAGGAGAGGTTGGCACAGGGAGCTGGTTGTGCCCAGAGGGGTTGGGGGGGGAGGTTGGCACCCAGATGTGGGGGGTTTGCTGGCAGGACCCAGCCATAGCACTGAGCCTCCCATGCCAGGGTTTGGGGTGGTCCTGAACCTCTGCTGCTCTTCCCCCTCCCAGGACAGCAAAGGTGAAAAATCAAAGGAGAGGAGCAACACGTAGGGATGTGGCCACGGGAATCCCAGCACCAGACTCGGCACCTCGGCGAGGAGGAAGCTGCTCCTTGGGATGGCTCCTTCCCTGCGCGGAGGTGAGGCAGCGGGATGAGACACCTGCACCTGCTCAGGGCCAGGCACTTCCCCCGTGGTCTGAGCGGTGCCTTCCCGAAATCCATCCCACTGCTGCCCACCCCCCTCCTCCCCCGCGCTGGGGCCGCCGAAGAACCAGCCCCCGAGTCGGTCCTTGGCCACACGTTCTCCCAACTTCTCCCCGTTACTAAACGTTCCCCGCTCCCTCCCCGGATGTCAAACTCCGCTGGCTTGATCGTGGTCTGTTTTTATTTAAGGAATGAAGCAGCTCCTTCATTAAAGCTGATTTGTTTCTTTTGGGTATTTCGTATTTATTTGTCTGGGTAAGCAGCAGTGACATCCCCTGACCCCCCTGACACAGTTCGTTCTTCATTTCAATTCTCTTTTCAATTACCAAATTGATTTCTGCCACTCTGGGAGCAGCAGAAGGGTGGGAGAGCCATGGGAGGCTGTTGGGAACGCACTGCCTGGGCAGGAACCACTTAATTTAGGAGCTGCTCCTAATTCTTTTCCCAACAAGCCGTTGGTAACTGGTGTTGGTCCGTGAGTGTGAGCTCTCAGGTGGGATTCCACAGGGTGACCCCCGTCCCTGCTGCCACCTGCCCTCTCGGCAGCGACGGGGAGGTTTGTGGGTGCCCAGCACCCCGACGCTGCCCGAGCAGCCCAGCCAGCACCCAAACCAGCTCGGCAGGGCCGGGTTTGCTCCCAGCACTTGGGAGTTGCTGCTGGGGCTGTGGAGGGTGTTGGAACCTGCCCCGACGCTCCGGGCTGGGCTCTGGCCCCACGAGGAAGCGCCGCAGCCCCGCACCTGTTCCCTCCCCCACGGCAGCCTTGTGTCCCCGTTCAGATTCCCGATCCCGTGGGGTGACTGTGCCAAGCCGATCCCGGCTGGCTCACCTGTGCCGCGGCCCCGTCCCCCTGTGCCTCCCGCGTCCCGCCGGCCCCACGGCTCCAGCTCCGGCTTGGCCGCGTCCTCGCAGCCGTTTGCAAATTGCATTAGGAAACTTGGCAGGGCCGGCTGCCCCTTTCTGCCCATTCCTGCCGATTCCTGCTGCTCTCCCAGGCACGTGCCGGGACGCCGTGGGGACGCGCCAGCTGCCGGCGCGGGCTCCGGGTGAGGGGAACGTCACCGAGCGAGCGGCATCTCGGCCGCCCCGTCCCCATCTGTGGCCAGGACAGGGGCCTGGCACCCACCTGCCCACCCTCCAGGTGGATCCCTCATCCATGCCCTGCTCTCCAGCAGAAATTCCTTCTTTGTTTGATGTTTGTGATTCCGTGACCTTTCCGTGTCTCGTTTCAGCCACTGAAGCCACATCCCCAGAGCAGAACTCCCTCATGTTTTGTGTGTCACCGTGTCTCTGCCTTAAGGCTGACATGTGTCATTGACATATGGTCACACAAGCGAAATCCTGGACCTTACACTCTGTGCTGGGCTTTTGTGTTATTTGGATTCCCATCCCATCGGATGCACATCCCTGTCAGCATTGTAGGAAGCAGGCCTGTCTCATGTCTCCCTCCTGGGGCTGAGACCTGCAAGGACAGAGTCCGTCTGAGCTTCCCTGGCAGGACTGTTGTCCCCTCTGCAGCATCCCAAGAGTTGCTACCTTCTTCCCAGGAGCTGCTCTGTCCCTGGGAGCCACACTCCTCTTCCCGGGAGCCGCTCTACCCTTCCCAGGAGCTCCTGATGGGATGGGAATTGCGGCTCCGCTGTTCCTGGCACCAGCCGCCCCCACGTCCCCGGGAGCAGCTGCCACCTGTGTCAGAGCCCCCTCCTCTCCCGGGGCTGGGGGCTGCAGTGAGCCCCCTCCTCTCCCCCAGCCTCGCTGGCTGCTGGGGAAGGACCAACTGGAGTGTTGGTGGTGCGGGAGCTGCCGCCCGCGCGTTTCTGTGCCGTGCTGTCCCCGCCTCGGCTGCCTCCGCCTCTGCCGGCCCCCCGCCCGCCTGCCCACAGCAAACAGGGGGTGGGGGGCGTGTATCCCACTCCTGTGCCCACCCTGATCCTATGGAGGGAGCGCTGTGGTGGGCTCTGCCCTCCTGCAATGGGATGGACAGGGGGAACGATGCTGGCAGGCAGAGGGCGGCTTTGAGGGCAGGGGGGACCCCAACTCCTCCCATTGCATCCCACCCCCTTTTCCTCTTCCCTGCAGCTCTCCCCAGCTCCTGCCCTCACTGTCAGCAGCAGGGTGGGGGTGCTCAGCTCCTACCCTGGCTGCTGCCAGTGGGGTGGGGGGCCCAGAGGCCATCTGACAGTGGGGTGGGGGTCCCAGAGCAGAGGCATCACCTTCCTGCCCCTGCTGCCATGCTGCCTTATCCCTCCCCAGTCCCCCTGCCTCAGTTCCCTGTCCTGGCAGAGGTCTCGGGGGTCAAGGGCCCGTCTCTCCCTTTGAAGGGGGGTGTCTCCCCTTCCCCAAACGTGCAGCTCCCCTCTGCCAGCACTGCAGCCGGGAAGTGGGTTAAGGCGCTGGCTCGGGGAGGGATTTTTCCCGGGGTGTAATTTTTCCCTCCTACACACGGTCTGTTTTGAGCAGTGCCTGGAGGCTTCGCACCCCCGGCTCCGGGCGGGGGAACGCGGCGGCTGCCAACCGAGGGAAGCGCCCGCTCCAGATCCCAGCTCGTTAGGAGAAATAACAGCAAATTAATTAAGCCAATAGTTCTCTCTGTGCCAGCAGTGCCCCCGTCCCTGCCGAGCCAGGGAGAGGGGCTGGGACAGGCCGGATCTGGGGCACCTTTCCCAGGAGGAGCATTGCCCTTGGCATGGCACAGTGCTCTGGGTCCCTCCTGCCCGTGTGGCCCAGTGCAGCCCCGCTGCCAGCAGCGAGTAGGGTCTCTCTGAGCCTCAGTTTCCTCTCCTGCTGTCACAAGAAGCCCCTCTCCATGTGGCTGCAGCCCAGGCAGAAGCACCACTTGCACCCAGGGCTGGGAGCCCTTGTCTGGACGCCCTGGGTAGAGGGGATGGAGGAGCTCAGCAGTTTGGGGGTGTTGGGTGGGGTCTGGGGGCGTCTGAGGGACAGAGGAGGGACATGCAGTGCCTTAATGTGCCGTGCTCTGCCATCCCATCCCGACAGGGCCTCGAGCAGCCCCGGAGGGGAGTGGGGACTTGTTTTGCCGCTCTCCGGCAGCCGCATGGATGGAGTTGCCAGGCAACTGCCGGGTGGAGGCGAAGCGGGAACAAAGCGGGAGCTGCCGGGACCCCCGTGCCTTCATCCCTCCCTGAATCCCCCAGGGAGCAGGGCCCAGCAAAGGCCATGGGGTCACACGCTGCTTCCCCCCGGGCCACTGCCACCGTCCCATCCCGGGGCTGCTGCAGGGCCACGGGATTGCAGAGGACGGACCCGGAGGGGAGGACTGGGGGGGGCGCAGGGTCTGTCCCCCTGTTGCTGCCTCCCCTTGCTGTGCCCAGAGGGTGCGAGGTGAGCCAGGGGGCACGGGCAGGATGGGTGCTCAGCACCCCGCGGGTGGGGGGCACGAGGCTCAGCCTCGGGCAGGCGCCCATCCTGCCCTGCCCTGACACCTTCCCCAGCACCTGCCCTGGCACGCCGGGGCCCGTTCCGGCCTGGCAGGCGGCGGGGGGGAGCTGGCAGCCGGCCCGACCTGCCCGCCCTGCCCGCGGGGCAACCCAGCCCCAGGGGTGCCAGGGTGGGGGGTCCCGCACCCACCCCCGGCCCTTTCCCACGGCGCGGTGGGAGCAGAGAGCTGGGCTGGGGGGGCCGGGGGTGGGTCACCCCACACCTGGGGACGTGCTCCCCGTGCAGGGGGACAGTCCTCTGTGCCCCTGGGCTGCCGTGGGGGGCTGTGGGTGTGCGGGGGGTGTGAGGCAGCGCGTGGCAGGGGGGTCGCAGTGTGTGATAGCGGGGGGGGACAGGCTGTGGGTTCTGTGTCCCCCCGGGCTGTACGGTGTGGGGGGTGCGCGTGGTCGTGCCCCGGGGACGCGGGTGGAGATACGGCGGGGGGGATGCTGGTGTGTGTAACGCATCACCTGTGCGGCGCTGCGGGCAAGGCAGGGGGTGACCATGTCCGGGGGCGAGCCGGTGCCACCGCAGCCCCGGGGAGGGCTCGGTGCCGAGCGCGGTGATGCGGGGAGGGAGCGGGCAGGTGCCGTTGGCGGGGCCGGGGGCGGCGGCGGTGCGGGGAAAGGGGCGGGCAGGTGCCGGGGGCGGCGGCGGCGGGGCCGTACCGGGGCGGGGCTGCGCTGGCGGCGGGGCCGCGGCGGGGCCGGTGCGGGGCGGGCGCAGCGTGCAGCCGGTGCGGGGCGGGCGGGGAGCGGCGCCGGGGCCCGAGCGGAGCCGAGCGGAGCCGCCGCCGCCGCCGATGGGCCCCTGAGCCGCCGCCGCCGCCGCCGCGCCCGGGCGGCCATGAAGCCGCTGGAGAAGTTGCTGAAGAAGCCGGGCTCGCACCTGCCCGCCCGCCCCGCCGTCCCCCCGGGGCAGGTACCGGGGCCGGGGTCGCTGCCGGCGCCGCGGCGGCAGAGCCTGTCGCGCCCGGCCGCCTCCCCCGAGGAGCCGCCGGGGCCGGCACCGGGGGGCGAGGGCCGCTGGCTGGAGCTGCGGCCGCCCGAGGCGCCGCTCCGCTCCCCCGAGGAGCCGTCACCGGGCGGCGACCGCGATCGGGACCGGGACCGGGAGCGGGAGCCGCCGAGCCCGGAGCCGCCGCCCGCCGCCCGCTGCTGCTGCGGCTGCGGCTGCGCCCCCGCCGCGCCCGCGCCCCCCGAGCGGCTCCTGACCGCGCTCCTCGACCGGCTGCCGGCGGCTGAGCACGGGAAGGGCTGCGGGGCAGGTACGGGGCTGCGGGACCCCCGGGGAGGGGCTGCGGGATCCCCGGGAGGGGCTGCGGGGGTGCCCGGGGCGGGGAGCGCGGGGAGCGCGGGGCGATGCGGCGGCGCGGGGGGAGATCGGGGGCGGCCGCTGCCTGCGGGGGGGATGCGCTGGTGGATGACGGGGTGGGAGACACCGGGATGGGGGAGCCCCGTGCCCGGTACGCGGTTTCCGGTGGGGTGGGTGGCCTCGCGCGGGGCGCAGCGGTGCCCGGTTGGGGTGACAAGGTCAGGGCCGGGTCCCCGCCGGGGCAAGGTGCCCGTGGCAGCGGGGTGGGCAGGAGCTCCCGGCGTGGGCAGGGGTCCCCCAGGGCAGCACACTGCGGCGGAAGGGCTGGCAGGGGAATGGGGATGCTCGGTGGTGGCAGCAGCCCAGTGAGGACTGGAGGTGGCCGGGCACCGGGAGCCACTGCAGCATCCACCTCCCGGTTGGATGGTCCGTAACATCCTCCTGGTGCTAAAATTAGTCGCGACGGGAGCTGCAGTGGGAGGGTCGGTTGGACGCCCCTTCCCTCTGGCACAGGCCTCCCAGTGCTGTCCCACGGTGGCTCCCCGTGCCCAGGTGCCGGAGCTGGGTGGGAGCCAGGCTGGGTGCAGGTGGGTGGGAGCATTCCCACGCCACGGGCATCCCTGCTCCGGCCAGTCTCGCTTGGCTGGTGGGACTGGGAGGTGTTGAGGAACCCCCCCTGGCGACCCCCAGCCACCACCAGCCCCCTGCTCCAGTGATGCCAGGGTTGTGCACAGACAGAAGGAGCCCTCAGGTAGGAGCGAGCTGGGACTGGCAGTGCCAGGCCCTGCCTGCACTGACACGCTGCCAGGCCTGGCGGTGCCCAGGCTGGCCTGGAGCAGGGCAGGCAGGAGCCAGCGTGGGGATCCCAGTGTGGGAAAGTCTCCCAGTGGCTCTGGGGTACGGCTTGGGTGCTGCAGAGGGATGGGGAAACTGAGGCAGGGCTGGAGGGGGCTGCAGCCTGGGGGGATGGGGGGAGTGTTTGACTCCTGCCCCCAGGCAGAGCACGAGAGGGGGCTGTGCCCAGGGCAGACGGGCTGGGGGCCGTGTACCTGTACCCCCCACTCTGCCAGTGCCTCTGCCTGTCTCTGTGCCTTAGACCACCATGTCCTGCTTTTGGCAGCAGCTGATACCCCGTGGGTGCTGTGCCTGGCATGGGGGTGCCAGGGGACCCTCTGCCCTGGCTCAGCACAGATCCACGAATAGGTTAATAGTCTGATAGTCTGAGGGGACACTCTGTACAGCCCCTCGGGGCTGTCCCTGTGGGACAGAGCCCTTGGAAAGGCTCTGGGGTCCCACTACAGTGTCCCCGGGGCATGTGGGCACAGCCCCTGCTTGGGGCCGAGGGTTGTTCTGGTGCCGGGGAGGGAGTGGTGCCTCGTCCAAAGGTCCCGGTGGTGGCTGGTGCTGGCGCCAGTGCCAGCCCCTCGGCTCACCTGGCCATGCCAAAACACCTTCCCAGGGTGGTGCCACTGGTGCTGGCCCGGAGAGCCCGGCTGTGGCACCGGCCCGCTGTGCCCCGAGCTCCTGCCTCAGTTTCCCCCTCCGTGTCCCGCCGTGCCCGCGGCTCTCACGGGGCTCCCGGGTGTGCCGGGGCGTCGCGGCCCCGGTGCCGCCCTGCCGGCGCCTCTGCCCCCACACCGGCTCTGCCGGGCCCGGCTGCCCCGGGGCTGGGACGGGCCCTGAGTCAGCGCCGGCGCGGGGGGGGGTTCGCGTGGGGCTCGGCCTCTCCCGGTGTCACCCCGGAATTAGCATCGCTCCCGTCACCCTCCCGCCCCGCTGGGCACGGGGGGTGTCGGGGGGCTGTGCAGGGTGGGGTGCCCACACCTGTCCCCCAAATCTCCCCCAGAGTCACTGCTGGACGACATCGTTCTCACCCACTCGCTGTTCCTGCCCACCGAGCGCTTCCTGCAGCAGCTGCACCAGCAATATCCTGGGGGGCAACGGGGGGGCACGAGGGTGTGACAGGGAGGGGGCCAATGTTGGGCATGGGGGGCACTGGGAGGGCACAAGGGAGGACACGAGGGTGCAGTGAGGAGGGGTCTGAGGCTGGGCATGAGGAGGGGATCGGGGTGCAATGAGGGTGGGCACAAGGGTGTCATGAAGGGGACAAGAGGGGGTGACCAGGTGGGCACGAGGGTGGGCAAGAAAGTGCCATGATGGTGGCACAGGGGTGGGCATGAGGGTGGGCATGGGGATTGCGAGGAGGAGGAGGACAGCAGGGTGCTACAAGGGGCTCACAGGAGCAGCAAGGAGGGAATTGGGGTGCCCGTGGGGGTGGGCACATGAGGGGGCTGTGAAGGTGGGCATGTGGGTGCATGAGAGTGGGCTAAGGGTTTGGGTGCAAGGCGGGCAGGGTAGTGCCCCCAGGGTGGGCACAACAGCCCTCACTGGGGTCCCTGGGTGCAGAGGGTGCTGGGGAGCAGCCAAGGGGGTCCCTCCTTGCCGTGGCACCTCCTTGACAGTGCCACCTTCGTGCTGGCAGCGGGCAGCCCCCCGCGCTGGGAGGAGGGGGCCGGGCTGCAGCGCAAGCGGGCGGTGCTGGCCGTGCTCCTGCACTTCCTCGAGACATACAAGGGGCTGCTCCAGGAGGAGGAGAGCGCCGGGAAGGTCATCAAGGTGGGGGTCCCCTTCCCGTGTCTCCCCCCGCAGTCCCCCAGAGCCCCCCACTCTGACCCTTCTTGCCCCCCCAGGAGCTCTACTTGCTCATCATGAAGGACACGTCCCTCTACCATGACCTGGAGGACGAGATCCTCAAGCTGCACCAGCTCGTGGAGACGGTGGAGCTCAAGTGAGAGGGGGAAAAGGGGGTCCAGGGGAAGGGGAGGGGATCCTAGGGGACTCCGTGGGTCAGGGCATCCCCAGGAAGGACAAGGATTTCTGGTCCTTGGGGACACACAGGTGCTGGGGGGTCATTAGCTCATTAGCAGCCCACCCTGGTGCCCTCCTGACTGCACCTTCATGCCCTCCCCATGCCCAGCCCCAGACCCCTCCCCATGGCACACGTGTGCCCACCCCCTGCCCCCTTCACTGCACCCCCAGTGCCCTCCTCACGCCCAACCTCCTTGTCCCGAGCAAGGCCCTGGGTGGGGGCTGTCAGGGCACCCAGCACACCTCAGGGTGCAGCCCCAGGGGCGCCAGGGCCTCGCCTGACGCCTGCCCTGTGCCCCCCCAGGGTGGCCGACGAGACCCCCCCCCCGAACAAGCAGGTGAAGCCGCTGTTCCGGCACTTCCGCCGCATCGACTCGTGCCTGCAGACCCGGGTGGCATTTCGGGGCTCTGACGAGAGTGAGTGACCAGGGTGGGGGCCTGGGGTCCCCTCTCTGTACCCCGCTGCCCCTGCCTGCCCCGTGCCTCAGTTTCCCGGTGGGCAGTGCCCGGGGCGGGGCGGGGGGTGCCCTGTGCTGACCCCCCCGCCCCTCCCCAGTTTTCTGCCGCGTGTACCTGCCCGACCACTCCTACGTGACCATCCGCAGCCGCCTCTCGGCCTCGGTGCAGGACATCCTGGCCTCGGTCACCGAGAAGCTCCAGTACTCGGAGGAGCAGAGCGCCCGCGAGGACGCCCTGATCCTCGTCACCATGGCCTCGTCCGGAGGTGCCCGAGGGGCTGGGGGAGGGCTGTGGGCAGGGCTGGGGGGTCCCACAGGTGCTGACCCCCCTCCTGTGCCCCATGGCAGAGAAAGCGGTGCTGCAGCCCAGCGAGGAGTGTGTGTTCACCACCCTGGGCATCAACAGCCACCTCTTCGCCTGCACCAGGGACACCTTCGACTCCCTGGTGAGCTCTGCGGTGGGGACACCCTGATGGGGACCCCCAAGAGAGAACCCCCTGCCAGGGACATCCCCCCCCCTCACCTGCCCAGCCCTGGTGCCACAATCACTCCCTGTGCAGAAAGGGGGGACCCCTGTGCTCCACCCCATTTCCCCACCCCATTTCTCTGTCCCATGTTCCCACGTTCCCACCCCATTTCCTCCCTCCATTTCCCTGTCCCATGTCCCCACCCCATTTCCCTGTCCCATATTCCTATCCCATTTTCCCACCCCGTGCTCCCACCCTGTGGCCCAGCACCCCCTGAGTGTCCCCATAACCTCGTGTCCCCCCCCCTCAGGTGCCGCTGCCCGAGGAGATCCAGGTGGTCCCGGGGGACACGGAGATCCACCGCGTGGAGCCCGAGGACGTGGCCAACCACCTCACTGCCTTCCACTGGGAGCTCTTCCGCTGCATCCACGAGGTCTGGGGGGGCCACAGGGGGGGCTCGGCGTGTGGACACTGCTGTGTGTGCGCGTGGGGCTCCGATGCCACGTGTGTAACAACCCCCCCCGGCCCTCCCTGCAGCTGGAATTCGTGGATTACGTGTTCCATGGGGAGCGGGGCCGGCGGGAGACGGCGAACCTGGAGCTGCTGCTGCAGCGCTGCAGTGAAGTGCAGCACTGGGTGGGCACGGAGCTGCTGCTCTGCGAGGGGCTGGGCAAGCGCGCCCACCTGCTCAAGAAGCTCATCAAGATCGCTGCCATGTGAGTGGGGGGCCAGGGTGGGGGGGCCCCGGGGGTGCCCAGCCCGCCCCTCACGCTCTCTCCCCCCCGCCACAGCTGCAAACAGAACCAGGACATGCTCTCCTTCTACGCCATCGTCATCGGCCTCAACAACGCCGCCGTCAGCCGCCTGCGCCTCACCTGGGAGGTGAGGGGCTGGGGGGCCCTCGCCCCCCCCAGTGCTCCCTGACCCCCCCTGGTGCTCCTAGACCCCCCCAGATGCTCCCAGACCTTCCTGGGCCTTCCTGGACCCCCCAGGTGCTCCCTGACTCTTTCCTCAGTGCTCCCAGAACCCCCCAGAAGCTCTCACCTCCCCTGTCCAGTGTTCCCAGACTCCCTCTTGTTGCTCCCAAAACCCCTCTGGATGCTCACTGACACTCCCCAGTGCTCCCAGACATCCCCAGGTGCTCCCAGAACTCTCTGGATGTTCCCAGATCCACCCTGGGTGCTCTCAGCCCCCTCCTTGTGTGCTCCCAGAACCCCCCAGGAGTTCTCACCCCCCAATCCAGTGCTCCCAGGGCTCCTCTGGGTGCTCCCACACCTTCCCAAACTTTCCTGGTCCTTCCTGGACCCCACCTAGGTGCTCCCAGACCCTTTCCTGGGTGCTCATGGCCTGCCGCTGGCTGCTCCTGGACCCCTCCTGGGTTCTCCCAGACCCCCTCTGGGGTGTTCCTGGACCTCCCAGGTGCTCCCTGACCCGGGAGCATGATCCTCATGTCCCCCCTCAATTTGTCTTCCAGAAGCTCCCAGGGAAATTCAAGAACCTGTTTCGGAAGTTTGAGAACCTCACGGTGAGAAACGTCGGGGCCCCGTGGGGGTTGGGGGATCCCCAGAACCCCCCCCAGGGTATTTGGGGAGCTGGTGGGCAGGGAACTTTCCTGGGGTGTCCAGGGGTGTTCTTACCACCACCCCCACTACCAGCCCCGTGCCCACGGCCACCAGCGTGGGGGGAGATCCAGGGAACCCCCAGGGAGCCCCCCAAACCCTGACACCCCCTCTCCTTGTCCCCCCAGGATCCCTGCAGGAACCACAAGACCTACCGGGAGGTGCTGGCCAAGATGAAGCCCCCCCTGATCCCCTTCGTGCCGCTCATCCTCAAAGGTGAGGAAGGGGCTCCCCGAGTCCCACAGGGGGTCAGGGTCCTGCTGAGACCCCACGGGACCCCCCCCTAACCCCCCTTCACCCCCAGATCTGACCTTCCTGCACGAAGGCAGCAAGACCCTCCTGGACGGGCTGGTCAACGTGGAGAAACTGGTGGGTGCTTGGGGGGGATGTGGCTGAGAGACCCCTGGGGTGAGGGCAGGGCAGGGGGGACCCCCCTGAGGGGCTGGGGGTCCCCTGCCTGTGTGGAGGGGGTGAGGGTTCAGCATCCCCAGGGTGCAGAGCAGGACCCCCGGGGTGGGGTCCCTGATGGTGGGGGGTTGTGCAGGAGGTCCTGGGGGGGTCAGTGGTCCCTGGGGGGGCCGGGGCTGACTCTGGGGGTCTCTCTCTGCCCAGCACTGCATCGCTGAGAAAGTGAGAACCGTGAGGAAGTACCGGAGCCGCCCCCTCTGTGAGTGGGGGGCACATGGGGGTCCGGGGGGGGGAAGGAGGGTGTCCCACACAGCCCTGAACCCTCAGTGCTGCCCCTGAGGGGGCATCTGCATCCTCACACCCCATTATCCATGTCCTGCACCCCTTCACCCCTGCATCCCCGAATCCCTGCGTCTGCATCCCTTCATCCCCACCCCTCTATCCCTTCATCCCTGTCCCCACATCCACGTTCCCAAGTTTCTGTCACTGTGTCATCCCTTCATCCCCATCCCTATCTCTGCATCCTCATCCCATCCATCCCCACATCCCCATTCCCACATCCTCGTCCTGGAATCTTTTCATCCCCACTCCCCCATCCCTCCGTCCCCATCCCTGCCTTCCCACCTCCCCATCCCCATTCCCATACGGCCGTCCCTGTATTGTTTTATCCCCATCCCCTACACTCACACGTTGCCATCCCTGAATTCCCTGCATCCTTCCATCCCTGTCCCTCCATCCCCATTCCCACACTGACATCCCCGTTTCCTTTCATCCCCATCCCCTTCATCCCTTTATCCCCATTCCCAAATTGCCACCTTGCATCTTTTCACCCCCATCCCTCCAACCCCTGCATCCCCGCGCTCCTCCATCGCTGTTCCCACCCCATTCCCATTCCCGTTCTTGTTCCCGTTCCCAGGCCTGGAGCTGGAGGCGTCCCCGGCCCAGCTGCAAACCAAGGCCTACGTGCGGCAGCTGCGCGTCATCGACAACCAGAACCTGCTCTTCGAGCTCTCCTACAAACTGGAGCCCGGCAGCCAGTGAGGGGGGGCCCACTGGGGACCCCCAAACCCTGAGGACCCCCCAGGCCCCGGGACCTCCCACTCCGGGGGGCCCGGTGCCCCCCAGCACTGACGCACTTTGCCCAGCCCCGACAGCGGGTGCTGCCCCCACCC